AGCTCACTCCTTAACAGCCGTCTTGCTTAGTGACGGAAACTTGTGGTCGTTAAGTATGACGAGAACGTGAAACAAATGTTTTCTGCAGGAGGCTGTGTCGCCAGACAGGTGTCCGGTCTTACTTCTTGAGCATCCCAATTTGAAATACGCCACTACCCGGTCGATATCAAAGCATCCAATTGGTAAATATGATTTTGATCAGCCCGCCCCTTCCGGTTTTTTTTAGCCAATGTCTTTGGGTTTCTAGATACATTTCCGTAAATCAGTACAGGTGATCCTCGACTTACAACCGTTCGTTTAACGACCGGTCAAAGTCGCAATAGCGCTGAAAAAGAAGTGACTTGCAGCCAGTCCTCGCACTTACGACCCTTCTCAGCATCCCCATCGGTCGCCAATGATCCAAATTCGGGCGCTTAGCAACCAGCGTGCATTCACGACCGTTGCAGCAATGCATTGTGGTGTGATGTGATTGCAATTTTGTGAACTTTCCAGCCGGCTTCCGACAAGCAAAGTCATCGGGCAAGCCAGGTGCGATTCACAATGGCAGTGACGTGCTTAACAACCGTGGCTGAAAAAGTCGTCAAGTTGGGCAAAACTCACTTAGCGCCGGCCTTGCTTAGCAAGGGGAATATTGGGCTCCCTTGTGGTCGTAAGTCAAGGACTACCGGCAAATTTCATAAATAATAAATAAATATATATAATTTATATATTGATATAATTTAAATTATATATTACAATTATTGATATGAATACATATGAATATATGAATATATATTACCTAAAATAATACCTAATTTTAATATATAATTTAAATTAAATATATATAAATATGTATTATTTTATTTACTATATATTCATATAATAATAAGTTGGGGAATATTTATAAATATTTATGTATATAATGTACATGTTGATTTAATTTAAATTATATATTAAAATTAGGTATTTTATGTATTATTTACTACATATTCATATATTGATTTTTAACATATTATTATATTTAATAAATTTATATTAATATATCAATAATTTGATATATATGAATACATATTACATAAAATAATACCTAATTTTGATATATATATTAAATTAAATATATATTAATATGTATTATTTTATTTACTATATATTCATATATAGTTGAGGAATATTTATAAATATTTATATATATATAATTTATATATTGATTTAATTTAAATTATATATTAAAATTATGTATTATTTTATGTATTATTTACAATATATTCATATATTGATTATTAATATATTATTAATATATTTAATATATTCATATTAATATATCAATCATTTTATTATATAATTTATATAAGATATTAAAATATTAAATAAGATAAATAAAATATTAATTTAATTTAATTTACATTATATATTATAATTTATCTATCTATATCTATCTATATAATATCAATTATATATTAAAAGTCTGTATTATTTTATTTGCTATATATTGATTGAAATATTAATAATTTTAATTTACAATTTACATGAAATTAATATATAAATGAGATAAATATATTTATAAACATTGTTTTAATTTAAACTATGTATTAAAATGATGTATCGTTTTATTTACTATATATTCATATAGCCTAGTAGCAATATATAAATGACGTAAATATAAATATTTATAAATATTGCCCAACTTATTAATGAACATATAGTAAATAAAATGATACATGAGCCATACATTATTAAAAAATAAATAATAAAAACTAGACACTGAACACATCCCTCAAGGGCCGTCCCACAGAGGGGGATCCTGTCTTCTCTGGGGTCCCCAAGAAAAAGGAAGTGACGGTTCTTTGCTTTCTTCTCCAGGTGTTGAAATTGGTCCTCAGCCCCAGGGGGTCCTGAGGGCCGACATTTTGGCTAAAATGAGGAACATCGTTCGACACGGGCTGGATTTCGTGGCCAAATTCAACGCAGGTACAGCATTATTGAGAATTTTCCAATACTCAGAGGGATCTAATTGCAAATGTACAGCTTTAGTTTGCTTTAACAAATAATCCATCATAGTGGCTTTAGGACAGGGGCCTTCCAACTTGGCCCTTTTGTGACTTGTGGACTTCAACTCCCAGAATTCCTCAGCTGGGATGCTTTAAGACAGGGGTCTTCCAACTTGGCCCTTTTATCACTTTGGACTTCAACTCCCAGAATTCCTCAGCCAGGATGCTTTAAGACAGGGGTCTTCCAACTTGGGCTTTTTATGAGTTGTGGACTTCAACTCCCAGAATTCCTCAGCCAGGATGCTTTAAGACAGGGGTCTTCCAACTTGGCCCTTTGATGACTTGTGGACTTCAACTCCCAGAATCCCTCAGCCAGGATGCTTTAAGACAGGGGTCTTCCAACTTGGCCCTTTTAGGACTTGTGGACTTCAACTCCCACAATTCCTCAGTCAGGATGCTTTAAGACAGGGGTCTTCCAACTTGGGCTTTTTATGAGTTGTGGACTTCAACTCCCAGAATTCCTCAGCCAGGATGCTTTAAGACAGGAGTCTTCCAACTTGGCCCTTTTACCACTTTGGACTTCAACTCCCAGAATTCCTCAGCCAGGATGCTTTAAGACAGGGGTCTTCCAACTTGGCCCTTTTATAACTTGTGGACTTCAACTCCCAGAATCCCTCAGCCAGCCCTCAGAGCTGGCTGAGGAATTCTGGGAGTTGAAGTCCACAAGTCACATAAGGGCCAAGTTTGAAGACCCCCGCTTTAAACATTATCAGCAATGGCATCTTTAAAACAAAGTTAGTTGTTTAGCATAAACAGTTGAAGATAATGCACTGTTTTCTCTGTAGGTCAGGAATTCCCTCCGTGTACTATTGAGGTTTATAAATTATTGGAGAAAGTTGACTATCCCAGGAACCCCAAAAATGAGATTATGGCTGTCATTCACCCTAATTTACAGGTAAACGCACGTGATTGCTATTCTATTTTTAATAGCGGTGGTGGGAGATCTAATGTGTATTGTACAGGTAGTCCTCGATTTACGACCACAATTGAGCCCCAAATTTCTATTCCGGAGTTCTTAAGTGAGATTGGCCCCATTTCAAAACCTTTCTCACTACCGTCGTTAAGTGGATCGCTGCAGCTGTTACGTTAGTAACGCGGTTGTTAAGTGAATCCGGATTCCCCCATGGATTTTGCTTGTCAGAAGGTCACAAAAGGGGATCCCGTGACCCCAGGACGCTGCGACCGTCATAAATATGAGCCAGTTGCCGAGCGGCTGAATGTTGATCATGTGACCGCGGGGAGGCTGCAACGGTCGTAAGTGGGAAAAACGGTCATCCGTCCACTTTTTTCAGTGCCGTTGTAAGTTTGAACGATCACTAAATGAATGATTGTAAGTTGAGGAGGACCTGTATAGGAAATGTGGGGTTTGCTCTGTGTTTACATTTATGTGACTTGCCCTGTCAGGGTTGTTGGGTGTGGTTTTGGTGGTTCCTGTGTTAGGCTGCTGTTTGCTGATTGTTTGTCTGAATTGGTAGTTCCTTGATTGGGGTATTGCACTGACAGGGCGAGCCAGTTGTATATAAGTAGAGAGCAAACCCCACATTCCCTTCTAGCCCTGATGGTGTTACCTAATCTGGTCATGAAACGTCTGCAAGAAAACCACCAAAGTCAGAGAGCACCAAGGACTCCACAGTTGTCGTCGTCGTCCTCCTCCTCCTCCTCATCATCATCCTCCTCTCTGCAAACCCCATTCTTTTGTAGCACTGATGTTGTTACCTAGTTGGGTCATGAAACGTCTGCAAAAAAACCCCACCAAAGTCAGAGAGCACCAAGGACCCCACAGTCGTCCCCCTCCTCCTCCTCCCAGCTAACTCAGTCCCTTCCAGCCCTGATGGTGTTACCCAGATGGGTAATGAAATNAGTGTAATCACGTAATAATTTTCTAAACTGCCCAGAATCTCTTCAATGGTGAGATGTCACAGCATATACATTTAATAAATAAATCCATTTCATAAATAAAATGTGCACCACACGGACAAGCCAAACAGGTGTGCTTGGATTATAATGAAGCACCTGACATTTTGAAGATTATGACCCCTCCCCACCCCCAACCCTGGGCAGATGCCCCTGAAAATCATTGGCTGTGTGACTTTTGCTCAACTTGTTTGCAATATTCAAGACAACCTGGCAAGCTGTAATTTTCTCCGGTTGATGAATTAGCACTTCAACAGCCTTCATTAATCCCGACACGCAGCAAAGTTAATTGCGGCGGGCTTCGCTCTTATGATCTAACACACAAAGCACCCTAGGTTTGTGCGTTTTCCAACAAGGTCCTATTTGTCTGAATACAAAGCAGTTGCCGAACAATCGCACTTGGGTTTTCGTATCCTGTCTGTGCCAGCTGGCAAAGCATCAATGTTTGTATAGGTCAGGGGTCTTCCAACTTGGCCCTTTGATGACTTGTGGACTTCAACTCCCAGAATTCCTCAGCCAGGCACGCTGGCTGAGGAATTCTGGGGAAGTCCACAAGCAGAGGTCTTCCCACTTGTCCTTTTTATGACTTGTGGACTTCAACTCCCAGAATTCCTCAGCCAGGCACACTGGCTGAGGAATTCTGGGAGTTGAAGTCCACAAGCAGGGGTCTTCCAACTTGGCCCTTTTATGACTTGTGGACTTCAACTCCCAGAATTCCTCAGCCAGGATGCTTTAAGACAGGGGTCTTCCAACTTGACCTTTTTATGACTTGTGGACTTCAACTCCCAGAATTCCTTAGCCAGGCACGCTGGCTGAGGAATTCTGGGGAAGTCCACAAGCAGAAGTCTTCCCACTTGGCCCTTTTATGACTTGTGGACTTCAACTCCCAGAATTCCTCAGCCAGGCACGCTGGCTGAGGAATTCTGGGAGTTGAAGTCCACAAGTCATAAAAGGGCCAAGTTGGAAGACCCCTGGTATAGGTAGTTCTCAACTAACAACAGTTCGTTTAGTGACCAACGTTACAACAGCACTGAAAAAAGTGGCCTCTGACCCCTTTTCACAGCTACGACGGTGGTAGCATTCCCCGCGGTCACATGATCAAAATTCAGAGTCTGGGCAACTGGCATGTACTTATGACAGTTGCAGTGTTCCCGGGGTCCGTGATCTCCTTTCGCAACCTTCCGACATGCTACGTCAACCGGGAAGCCAGATTCACTTCACAACCGTGTGACTGATTTAACAGGGGCAGCGATCCGCTTAACGACGGTGACAAGAAAGGTTGTAAAATGGCTCAAAGCTCACTCCTTAACAGCCGTCTTGCTTAGTGACGGAAACTTGTGGTCGTTAAGTATGACGAGAACGTGAAACAAATGTTTTCTGCAGGAGGCTGTGTCGCCAGACAGGTGTCCGGTCTTACTTCTTGAGCATCCCAATTTGAAATACGCCACTACCCGGTCGATATCAAAGCATCCAATTGGTAAATATGATTTTGAT